AACATGCTCATATTTAATGTTTTAAAAGATGTAGAAAAAAAAACTTATAATAACTTTATTGTTCTTTAGATCTAAACATTGATTAAAAGAGGTAAAAATTGCTAATTTTTTAGACTTAAACGTTGATTAACACCATAGATTTAGAGTTTATATTTAGTAAAATTCCTAATTGTAATAAAAAAATTAATTTTTGCTATATTTTAGAATATCTTTAAATTCATTATAAAAAGAAAAAGAAAAAAAAACTACAATGAAAAAAGCAAGTCATCTATATATCGATTTGTTGTACTCCTCAAATCACATTCACAATTTGGCTACAAGGAAAGGTAACTCATTGATTAAAATATTATTTTATCAGTAGTCTTAATGTACAAGAGACTTTAAGACTCCACTTGAATATTATAAGACTTTTATTGAACACTGTACAATTTTTTTTATAGACTTTTATTGAATATTGCATCTTATAATATAATATTCTCCAAATAAATATATCTCGTGTTTCGCACGGGTCACGTACTATATATATCCCGTACATTTTTCTTTATTTGCGTATATAATTATAAGTTTAGATGAATAACCTTAAAATTGTGCATCCCGTGCATCGTACGGGCTCTGTACTAGTATAAAAAAAATACAAATAGACCCCCCATATTTTTCTAATTTTTAACACTAGCACCACAAACCAAATCTGTACTTTCACGCCAACAATCCAAAATCAGATCTCGCAGTATCGATCGCAAAAAAATAAAAAAAAAGGATCTCGCAGTATCGCCGTCGTCTCTTCAAGGTAGCGTCGTTTCCGTCCTCGTCTCTCCCGCCGGTCACCCTCGCCGAAATGGAGTCTCTCGCAGTGAAGGTCGTTTAGAGGTTTGGAGGGTGGTTTCATGGCCTCGAAGCGGCGGCGTTTCTCTGTGTTGCAGGCGGATCTGGTGGAGGCTACAAGTTGCGACGTTGATGGCTGGGTTGTTGGAATCGGTGGTGGCGGGGTTGTTGGCGGGCAGCCGCCTGGTAGGTCATGATGGTGGCGGGTTGTGGTGGATGCGGGGCTGATGTCGACGGCGACTTGTTCGGCTGTACTTGAGGCGGCGGTGCTTTGACTATCGGGTGGCGGTGCTTTGATGGCCGGGCGGCGTCGCTTCGAAGGTCGGGTGACTATGTCAGGCGGCGGTGCTTTGAAGCCGTGGTTGGACATACTTTGAACGGTGGCGCCGACTGGATATGTCGTAATCCGGTGTGGCAATTGGTGGCGATGGGACCGGCAGGGGCTGTTGCGGCGGCGGTTTGGTGGCGGAAGTCGGAGGTTGCCGGCGGCACTGTGTGTTGTGTGTGTTTACCGATATATTTGTGTGTGTCGAAAGTGAACTGTGTGTGTGTATTGTGTGAAAGAGAGAGGTGGTGGGACCCACAAGGTAGGTGGTGGGTTGGGATTTTTTGAGATTACATAAATGTCCTTATTGAGTGGTCAAACATGTATATTCACCCACAGTATGACCACTTATTTACTGAAATGCCATAAGATGTTTGACTTCTTTATTTAAGGTTTGACTCCATCAAAGCCATTGATATGTTAGATCCAATGGTCTAGACTTATTCTCATTTCTCGCATTAAGAGTCATTCTATCCTTTCTCTATACAGATATAGATATATATATATATAGGGATTGGTTCCAATGCATCCCATTATTTAAAGTGAGGACGTGAGACTCATTCCTAGCCACAAGATTTAGATCTTAATTTAAATAATAATTCTTTATTTTTATTATTTAATTCTTTATTTTTAATTATTTAAATATTATTATGACCATTGACCGTTGACTCCGGCGTTGACCGTTGACTTCCGGCGTTGACTTCCGGCGAAAATCGTTGACTTCCGGTGTTGACCGTTGACTTCCGGCGTTGACCGTTGACTCCGACGTTGACCGTTGACCATTTGTCTTTTGTTATGTTATTTCTTTCTTGCTAGGTTAGTTGTGTCTTGTTGCTAGGTTAGTTGTTTGTTGTTGCTAGGTTAGTTGTCTTTTGTTGCTAGGTTAGTTCTTTCTTGCTGCTAGGTTAGTTGTCTAGGTTTTAGTTGTTCTTTCTTGCTGCTAGGTTAGTTGTCTGATGCTGCTAGGTTAGTTGTCTTTTGTTGCTAGATTATTTAGTTGTCTGATGCTGCTAGGTTAGTTGTCTTTTGTTGCTAGATTATTTCTTTCTTGCTGCTAGGTTAGTTCTTTCTTGCTGCTAGGTTAGTTGTCTTTTATTGTTAGGTTATGTTATTTCTTTCTCGCTGCTAGGTTAGTTGTTATTTGTTGCTAGGTTATTTCTTTCTTGCTGCTTGTGTTTTGTTGTTAGGTTAGTTGTCTTTGTTGCTAGTTTAGTTGTTCTTTCTTGCTGCTAGGTTAGTTGTGTTTTGTTGCTAGGTTAGTTGTCTTTTGTTGCTAGGTTATTTCTTTCTTGCTGCTAGTTGTCTTTGTTGCTAGTTTAGTTGTTCTTTCTTGCTGCTATAGGTTAGTTGTCTGATGCTGCTAAGTTAGTTGTGTTTTGTTGTTAGGTTAGTTGTCTGATGTTGATTGTAACCCATAGGATTTGAACCTGGTACCTCATGGAAGCAAGAGAAGCAATGCAACCACTACACCACTCAAGGTTGAGTGTCTTTTGTTGCTAGGTTATTTATTTCAATACAACGGGTCAACGTCGGAAGTCAACGGTCAACGCCGGAAGTCAACGAATCTCGTCGGAAGTCAACGCCGGAGTCAACGGTCAACGCCGGAGTCAACTAATAATTATTTTTTTATTTAATTAATGTATATTTTAATTGATTTGGATCTAGACAAAATGAGTGGCTAAGATTGAGTCTCACGTACTCATTTTAAGGAGTGGTCTCATTGGATCTATCCCCTATATATATATATATAATACAAAATATTAATATATGTTCTTATAAATAAAATTTTAGGTTCATTTATCAAACTAAATTAAAAGATATCAAATAAACCTATAAGTTATTTTATAAAGTAATATAAATTGGTATGTATTCTTTTAAAAATGATATTTATTTCAAATCTAATTGGTATGTTATCAATCTAATAAAAATAAATAATTATAATTATTTATTTAAATTCTAAAATTACACATAAAGTTAGAAAACTGTGAAGCATAACGGATACTACACTTGATGTATTAGAACTCTAATTAAGTAAAAAATTAATCTATTTTACTTAATATTAAACAAACATATTTCTGCACTTATGCATATGCATATGCATATCACCATATTATTTCTATTTATTTAAGATATATATTTTTTACTTAATAATAGTCAAAAATATTGATAATATTATATGATATAAGTAAAAAAATTCAATATGAGTTGACATTTTCATTTAATATACGGGTGTTTAATTATTATGATTAAAAAAAATAATTTGACAATTTAATTAAAACCCAAAGTAATGTTTTATATAAAATTAAATTATTTTGGTTTAAAAAAATTAATATTTTTTGCATATGCTTCCTAATTCAACACTCGTGTATTTACACGGGTATTGTACTAGTAATATTTTATTAGCAAAAGTGTAACAACTACACAAAATATTTGCACATCTATAGAATATACACATTTAATATTATCCTAAACAGTTTTATTATTTAGGTAGGTTGAATTCTTTTGAGTAACTGTAGGATTTAATGAGGTGGGATATAACTTTTCGTAACCTTTTTTCTTCTTCCTCATTGAGAATTCTGCAACCTCTCTACACGCCACCTCCAAACCCTCTCTGCAATTTTCTTTTCACGCCATAGTTCCCGAATCTCAAATTGTTCAATTTTTCCCGCATTATCTTTTTTTTTTCGAAATGATAGAATTCATTACTAGAATACATAATTACAACCGGCTCGGTAGCCGAATAGGGGAGGCCTACCATAGGTAGCCTAGAAACTACAACACAATATATACTAATTAAATATAAACTCAACATATATTAACCGTGGTATATTAATGAAAAATACCATATTATGTTTTTTATCAATGAAAAATACCATATTATGTCATAGTTTATGCGTGGTATATTAAGAGAATTTTTTATTGATGACGAAACTAACAAAGGAGCAATTTGTTGTTTTTTTTTTTTTGGTATATTAGGAGATTATTGCAACATATAATACATATATACTAAATATAAACTCAATATATACTGTCCATTCATGACATACAAATTTATACTGACTTTTAAACTCAACATATACTTCGATGATGAAATTTAACCATGTCCTTTGTTTTAGGAAGAATGTGAAATGTAAACTCAATATGTTGTCCTTTGTTTTATACTAAATATAAACTCAACATATATTAATTCGGGATTATGTTTTGGATATATTTCCATTCTATATATAATGGATTCCTATTTTAATGTTCCTATTTAATTAGCAATCATGGCCGTAATTATAGGTATGGGGGCGTTATTTTTGTTGACAAATTCTTTAGGAATATATAAAGTATTCCTATTTAGGCATTAATGTACTTATATATTCTCTATTAGGTAGAGATGTAATTATTTGTTTATGTATTGGATTTTTGCAAATTTCAGAATCATGTAGAATAGATGAAAATTTCCATATTTTTTTTTCTTTTTGGTTGAATCCATATACCCAGTGTGTCGTGCAATTGAGCGGAATATTGCAAAATTACATATTTGTGTCGCATCTTCAATCCTGCAAAAAGGTATAAGGTTCTTACAACCAGACTAAACCCTTAGGGCGTGTTTGATAGCCTAGATTGGATAGGATTATGCTCTTAGTCATGCTTACTCTGGCGTTTGTGTTGCAAGATTCTGGCCCGTAGGATTAGGCAGAGCCCGAGATTAAAATGACATAGTCTTGGGTTACGGGTATTAAATAATCCCGTGTAGCCCATGTGATTTTTTGGATCCCAATAGTAATCCGAGAAGTAAATGTCTTTTTCGTCCCTAATATTTGATATTTCGTACTAAATTAACCTCGACTGACCAAACAATTACAACATGCCACAGGATAAGAGGCATCGTCGTCTTTGGCCAAAAGAGTGTCAAACAAGATCTGTGAGGGAGGTGCAGAAGTGGCGAAAATTTCACAGCGGACCTGCGACTTCTCTGTAAGTGTGTGTTACTACAATTACAATAACACGATGACGAATCATGTGTTTTTTGCTTTGCCATACTTTTTTCCTTCGTTTCAGATATGGTTGTTCTTAAACCTTAAATTTCACAATGTTTGGTCCGCATTAAGTTGAGGAACGTGCTTGAAACTTGAAACCACTACGGTGAAGTCTTTCACATTGTAATCCTTGTCCGTCACAGGTACAAGGAACTTGAAACCACTACTTTGGCTATACCTTTTTGATTCCGGCGATTAACCCTATTAGAATTTTTGTTTTTAATTTTATTTTTTGGATCGGTAAAAATAAAAACCCCTATTACGCTTTGATTTGACTAAACATTGTTGATTTTCATTTTTTTTATTTTTAGTTTGAAACTGATTCTCGAAAATGAGTAGTCTATTAGTTGCTTGGAGGACAAGTGTTGTTGTTTTTTGTTGTCACCTGATTGCTTGTAATGTAATGGCAAAATTGATATAGGACATACTTGTTTTTCCCGTGGTGACTAAGTGTTGTTGGTTATTATTATGTTCAGTGCATATTTTGGTTGCTCTATTTTTTTCAAGCCCTCATGTTTGTACATAACAAGTTACATTTTTCTATACAAATAACAATAATTGTTAAGGTAATTTATGGATATTTGCTCTTTTCTTTGCTGAAAATAAATAATTAAAGTTGAGTAAACATTACTTCAATTTTTAGCACATAGTGGTACACCTTTTAATTTACAGTGTAGGAAAGATGAAAAATTGTTGGCTTCTAACTTTAACTCATTCATGGCCAAGTATGCATTTTTCTTTACATCATCAGACTAACCATGGACATAGAATCTGAAGAGGCGCTAGTACTGTTGCTCGTTGAGGACATAATAAATCTACGTAATTTGTGTCTTCTGCTTGCGTACGTTTACATTAAGCTGGTGGTTCAACCAAGACAACATCGTAGAGTTAGACGTCGGCTTACAAGAGAATCCTATAGTATGTCAAAACGTCTTCCATCTCAAATTGAGCATATGAAAGTGTTATTAGAAATAATTGACAGAACATGCATTGAACAACTTCGCATGGATCGAAGTTGCTTTGGGCGTTTATGCTACTTGTTGGCGGCCTGCAGAACACCAGAGATATTCAAATAAGTGAACAAGTAGCAATTTTTCTTAGTGTGCTAGCTCACCATAAAAAAAATCGTGTAGTCAAATTTGATTTTAAACGATCTGGTCAAACAATAAGCAAATTCTTCCACAATGTACTTCAAGTCGTCTTGCGCTTGCACACCATCCTCGTTGTCGGAAGTAGCCCTGTAACCGATTCATGCACAGATTGGAGATGGAGATGGTTTAAGGTGAGGACAACATTTTTCCACATTTCTGTTGAAGTATACCATAAATTCAACTAATAAAATTAAAGTTTACGTATTGATTTTGGTGTGCATTGAATCACAGGGATGCTTGGGAGCGTTGGATGGAACCTATGTTCCCGTGCGTGTTCCTGTACTCCTACACCCACAATATCGAAACAGAAAAGGTTTTGTTTCCGTGAATGTTCTTGGGGCTTGCACGTAAGATATGAATTTTTAGTATGTATTGACCGGTTGGGAAGGTTCAACGGCAGATTGTAGGATTTTACGAGACTTCGTTCACCGAGAAGGGGGTCTTCGTGTACTAACTGGTTAGTCTTAAATATATTTATGTAAAAATGTAATACTAATTTCTTACTTATCCAAAATTTTTGGTGATAATTATTTTTAACTGATTTATTATATGTTAATTTATTTTTTTTTATTTTTTTTTAATTTTTTTTTGTGGGGGGATCTGTCGCAATTACAGGGAACTATTACCTCTGCGATGCCGGCAACACAAACGGTCCGGAATTCTTGGCTTCATATAGGGGTGTGCGGTATCACTTACATGAGTTTGGTGAGGGTAATCGAGTGCCTACAAACCATAGACAGTTGTTTAACTTTAAGACATGCTAAAACGCAAAATGTAATCGAGCGAGCTTTTGGAGTATTAAAGATGCGATGGGCCGACCTTAAGAGCCAAACTTATTTCAATATAGACACTCAAAATAAAATTATACTTGCTTGTTGTCTTCTTCAAAACTTTATCCGTACTACCATAAATGTTGACCCTATGGAAAATGAGGAAGACTCTACGACGAATGAGCACCAAAACCCCGAGCCCCATGACCACATTGACTATGTAGACGTTGTAGAGCCCAGCACAGAATGGACAAATCTGCGGGATGCTTTAGCTCTTTCAATGTTTAATGAATGAGATGGTCGGAGTTGAAGACCGATGCAAACAACGTTTTGTTGGCTATATGATGACCTTGTTTGTATAACAAAAAAGACATGTTCATGTTTTTTTTATTGTGGAAAACAATATTATGTGAATCATTGAGAATATGTTTGACTGATACTTTATTTCATTTTTGTGTCTTCGATGGTGTGCATAACAAAGAGTTTGTCCTCCTTAATTATGAATTTTCTTCATTACAATATATTAATTCTGGTTGTTCAACCGATTAACCTACAATTCTTGGTTTCTTTCTTTGGTCAATATTTAGTGATGGAATCCACCGGTAGTGGGGGACGCAATTCACAGGCCAACGGACAACGTCGAGTTTGGTATTTAGACGAGGAAAGTGCATTAATTCAAGGTTTGTGCGATCTTGTTTCGCGGGCCTGGAAATGCGACAACAGATTTCGCTCAGGATACACCAACATATTAGAGCAACATATGGCCCAATATTTCCCAGGTACTAACATAAAAGTCAAACCACACATATCATCAAAGATTACGGTTTGGAAAAAGCATTATGGTCAGATATTGGGAATGCTTGGAAGTTCGGGTTTCGAATGGAGTGAAACGGGAAACATGATTGTTGTGAAGGATGATGCCGTTTGGCAAGCCTACATCAAGGTAATTATTAGATTTATACATTTTACTTTGCTATTTTCATTAAAATGTAATTTAAGAAGGACCAATTATTTATTTATATTTTCTTTCTTTTAGGCTAATCCAAAGGCCAAGACAATGTGTTATAAATCTTGGCCCTTTTATGGTGATTGGGTGGAAATATTTGGCAAGGACCGGGCTACGGGAGAGGGGGCACAAGGTTTCACTGACGCGGTTAATGGTGTGTTACATAAAACAAACGTCCATGCACCTAGCCCTATCCTAACTGAAGACTTCCCGGAACATTGTGACGACCCTGAAATAACATGGACTCTTTTTCGGCCCAAGCGGGTGAGAGTAGTGCATCCGGTAAGTCTAAGCGTGACGAAAAAAGAAAGCATAATGTTGAGGTGGAGGATAAAATAATTGGGCTAATTTCATCCGTTTGCGAGGAGACGAACAAGCGTCTTTCTGAATTGTCGGCAAATTTTGCAAACCAAGTTGATGCAAAAGAGCAACGAATTGCCGTTTAGGAGGCACTTAAAAAAATTCCAAACGTAACAACCGATCAAAGGGTAGTTGCCACGCGTTACTTATGCAAAAACGTTGACGAGATGGATCTCTTTTTCAGCCTTGATGATGTTGCAAAGTGCTCCATGGTGCAACATAAATTGATCGGTTGATTGTAGAAAGCAAAAGGCATGTCATTGTCATTTTGCATATGGTCTACAATCAAAACTTTGTCGTTTTGCAATTTGAACTATATCTCTATTTAAGTTCTGTATGTGGCTGTGAACCCATCATCTCCAACGGTGCATGTATTAGTCATTTTGATGATGCCGATCAACTTGTACAACTGTACTAGGATCATAGATTTGGTCGGTGAACTTATGCTTTTGGTTTTGTGACATTGGCACAAACTATTTACTTCTTATTTTCCTATATATTTTGGTTAGATATTTGTCAGGTTCCCATGACCTCATATTTTGCGAATTGTGAAAGTTGAGTTGTCCTTTTCTCAACCTGAAAGTTGAGCTCATATTTTCTGTAATTAGGTACTTCAGCTCCAAATTAGACTTACTTAGGAATAATAGGAATTGTTGTCTAGTCTCTTGTTTTTTGTAATGTAAAATACATAATATACCATGGTGAGCAATGACGGAACATCATTCTTGAAGGAATATGCATGTTTGTCTGTCACCCCTGTTCACTATTCGTTCATCACAAAAGTTTAGTTAATCAATTATACTTTCCTGTTAATGCAACTGAAAGAAAGTAAAAATAATTACGTCTTTTAAATTCACTTGAGGATTTCAACCATTTCTAAGTAAAATGATATATTTTTCTCTTCGTAAGCACGTAGTGGTTATAAATATGTATACGTAATTTTTTTTTTAACTAAGTGCATGAGCACAATAATA